AGTTTTTATGTTGTACGTCATTTCCGCCTCTCCCTTTTAAACTATTTTTATTGCGACACTCTCCATCTATATAATATTGTGATTCCTACGTAAGTTCAGTAACATCTGTAAACCTGAAGAAGGCTGGTATGGCCAGCCGAAATATTGTTATTAGTCTTATTATAAAAAAAACAATACACGTTCTTTTAACCCAGCTTTTCCGTAGTCTTTGGACTTCTCGTTCTTAACAACAACAAAGGCGATTCTTTCTTTCGACTAAATTTTGGAAGTGAACAGGAAGACATACGACATTTTCTCCATAAAACGTGTAACTGGCAAGTTTCTACAAGTTTCACGTTGTTGTCGTACAAAACAACGGCAAAGTGAATGAACAAAAAAAGTGTTCTGCACATGCAAAGTAGCTTTTTTACTAATTCGACGGCCTTTAGAGGCTCCTGGAGCCGAAATACGTCCCTCACTGTTGATTTAGGGATCGTTACTGAGGACGTACCGCGGTCAACTATTGGCCATTTTTTCAGCCACGTCATGTCCCCAGTAACCGTTCCATAAGTCTTTGCCAATTAAGACTCGGTCCATTCTAAAGTGGTAAATAGACCATTAATAACGTTTTGATCAAACATAACACTTGAATTTCTTGTTTATGAAAACAAAAAGGGACATGATTGTTTCGAGAATCCTTAAACGTGCATTTCACGCAATTTTTGGTTCCTGTGAAAATTAAAGATGCAACCGCGGCATACTAGCTTCTAGTAATTATCTTTGTGAAAAGATTCTTAATTTTAAGTCTAAAATTAAGAATATGAACAAAAAAAGAAACAAATGACATATTATACGTTTAAGTTATCACGGGGATATCTTAGCTGGATATAGAGCTAATTCTAACGATTGTTATGAAAAATAAACTCCTAAGTTTTAATCCAAGCATTACTGCCCGCGATATTTTTCGATTTGCACAACATGCGTAAGATTGAAATAAAGTTATTTTCCTTTGTTTATATTATCTCTTTATTCGCATCAAAGAACTGTTTGTTTTAAATTCCTAATAGTTAATAGTTGGGTGAAAAACGCCTCCTAAAGCAAAGCAAACAGACTTTATAATATATTTTAGGGTTTAAAATAGAGCAAGTAAGCTAAATGAAATCGCACGCGTTGAAAAATCATGATTCAGTTTCAATGTTAGGTCTTTTATAAAATATAATTTTCCCTGACTAACACCCAGCATATTTCTTCTTAAAAAAACTGGCCTCTTTTGCGGCACAACTTGTCAAAGATGTGTACGGTTTTTTATCATAAAAATACCAAAATGTAATAAATGTCTTATATTTTATAAAATAATGCTAAGAGTTCAGCTCCAAATTTCATTGCCAGAATACTTCAAAACCGTTAGAGATTGGAAAAATAAATTAGGAATCTCGAAGTTCGCGGTTGGCTTAACGCCTCAGCCCTTTACATAACATTCCTAAGAAACTATTTTGAAACACTGGCTTGCTCGTAATAGCTACGGTGACTTGCTATTCGTTACTTGAGTTTTGTGCCATGAAAACGCACTTATTTTTGCCGCTTTTGATCTTAGTAAAATTTTGCCTTTTCTGCCAAAGTACCGTCCCCTGGATACTGAGAAATAGCTAAGATACTGTCTCAGTCTAATTCAAACTTACCCAACAAAACTACAGCTGCAACGAATTCACCTCCATCAGTTGTCCAAAGGTCATAAATGGTACTCATGTTAGAGGATGCCATGTCTCTCGGTCCCGGATTCCCACCCTAAAATGTCATGAAATAAATCAGTCGATAAAAAAAAACCTTTCCTGATGGGCTTATCTCAGTTGCGTGCTTACTGAACAGCTCAACGAGTCCGTGTCACGGTCGGTTCTGCTTCACGCAGCATAACTTTCACGCTAACTTTTTTTTGTTCATCTTTCAACTCCGGTCGTTATTAGGAATTCCCTGTGGAAATATCAACCGTTTCTAAATGGTGTCAATATGGCTATCAAATAAAATTAGCATTGTCGGTATTATTCTGTAAACTAACTAAAAAAGCTAAAAAAGATTCATGACATCCCTGACTGAAGATTTTGTTGCCGTGGTACTCGATGACAAACACTGACGCAGTGTTATGAAGTCTTCACGGGACAGCTAATGTGGAGACATTGTGACTTTGAGCTACATGGGGAGTTTGTGACCTTCTGAAAGCTTGTTTTCTAGTCTGTCCGGCTAGAAGAAACTCGTCTCAAGAAACTCTATATATTTACTTTAACAGAGTGTTTCGAGGAGTGTTGGTGTGGGGAAACTAAATTTATGTCGTTATCTAAAGACAAATCCCTACAATCTTAGTTAGAACTAACCTGAGTGAAACCAACTGTTTATGCTTTTAAAAGTGTCTCCCGGCTTTCTCAAAGCTGTTGTTGAGCGTGTTGTTAGCCTTTCGTTTTATATGGATGAGTGAGTCTAATATAATCTTAGCGGAACCGAAATCATATTGCTGAGGCTATGCAAATTGACTTACCGTGGGCCGAAGACTTAAAAACCATTTGAAAATTAGAAATCAAATGAAAATTCTAGCTGAGAAAGTTAATTACTTGCTTTAAGGCCATTAATCAATTGAAATAGAAATAAATGATAATGAAACTTTCGACCAAATGAAGGCAATAGTTGACAGGAAGAACCATTGGCACAAAGCACTGTTGGCAAATAAAATAAATACTTAACAATAAAAACCTCTTAGCGACATGGATCAAAGAGGAGCCAAATAACAATCAAAATACTTATTCAACATGCTTAAGATAATGACAACTGACAAGAACACATTACTGTTTGGAAAGCAATATCAAAAGTGAGTTTTTAATGCTTCTAAAAGCCGTTCTTAAAAAGGTCACGTGTAAGTGGGATGATTACAGCCTTTTAAAAAATGCAGTGTAATAAATTTGCAATTAAAATATGCTGTGGTTATTAAATTTTTGTCTGCTATTAGCAAAGTTATCTTTCACTACATATGACATTTGGTCATCTGTCAGGTAACACAAAAAAGTGCGAAAAGTCTGAATATTATTTATATGCAGCCAGATTTTTCGTATCCTTTGTACTGATTCCGACATTCGGTCCTGCAACTACTGCAATCGGTACAAACACATGAGAAACGATAAGCACAAACTGGCCGCATAACCGGCCCATGATTGGGCTGGGACTTCCTCATATACTATTTTGTCTCAGTTGCATTTTATGGGCTCCATCCGTACATGTTTCCAGAAGAGAAAATTTCTTTTAGCATTTCGCTTAACTTTGGGTTAAAGTTACAAAAGTCTAGTTTACAATAAGGGGAAACCGATAATGCCCCAGTCATGCCCCGTTTGTACCATATAGCGACGCATTACATCAAGCCAACTTGGAGACGCTCTCTCGACGCAGGCAGTCGATCACAACTAAGCTTTTTGATTCCATCACTTGTAACTCAGACCATAAACTGCATGAGCTCTTGCCACCTCGTAACAATTGTGAATCCAATTTAAGACGAAAGAGGAATTTTTATGTCCCTCTGGCTAAGACGAAGAGACTTTATATATAGCAACTGTAATTAAATTTTTAGCTACAAATGTGTACATTTTTCTTATATTTTTTCTCATATTTTTTTCTCTTTTATTACATTTTATTATTGTAACGATTAATCTAATTCAGCTTTTGGCTGCGATTTTAATCAGAATAAACAATCTATCTATCTATCTATCTATCTATCTATCTATCTATCTATCTATCTATCTATCTATCTATCCAGTCAAATGTAAAGTAAATACCTTTCTGTTCATACTTTATACCCATTAAAAACAGGCTTTTCCCAACAATATGGCGCCTTTCTTTTTAAGTACAAGTCGCCATTGCACCTCAACACTTTTACAAGGCCCTTGTCGCCTTTCAGAGGCTTCAGACACTGAATATCTGACTGGCCTTATTCTAATACACCGCTAAGAAATTAAGTATTTTGTGGCCTTTAGAGTCTTATACTGAACTAGTACATAAGCTTCAATTGATGAAAAGTTGCAAGTTAGTTAACTGTTACCTGGAGTTCCACAACAAGTAGTAATATGATCTAATATGTATATATGAATCTTTAAGCAATCGTACTCAATGCTTTGCCATAAATTTCTAAGACTTGTCTCTGACTTGTGAGAAGTCAGTTCCACATTTCCGCCGGCCGGGGATTTTTTAGAACAAGAAAATTATTAACATATATGGTTTGGCGATAATGTTTTTTCCACTGGTATTATATACTCTTTTTTCCCCAAACATTCAAATAGAACAAGTTTATGAGTTTCAAGTTTATATATTATATATATCAATCTGTCTAAATCAATCTTACTGACCTGCATGTAGTTAAACTGATCGAGGCAGGTCAGTCTCACAAGTTCTAATATTACAGATTTCAAAGAAGAGTTTGAAAAAAAGAGATTAACAAGGTAACCGTCGAGAAAATCTTAACAAAATCAGCAAAATTCAATACAGTAGTTCGCGGAGCTCAAGCTAGCGCACGCGACAGAGACGCGTGTCTCCCTCGCGCGCGCCCGTTCTTTCTTGCGCCCATTTATTTCCTAGCGCCTGCTACACTAGCCTCCCACGCAGGCTATATTCATCTTCCATTTCTACTTTACAAATCAGGGAGTTTGTAAACAGTCGCAGTATTGTTAGAGTAATCTTCTGAAGGCTATTGGTGACCAGTTCGGAAATCAATTAAGTTAATCTTTACATTTCAGAATTGTCTATCGTTCTGAATTTTCCGCGTTATGGTTTGGAAAACATCTTTGTAATTCGATATCCTTAGACTCTTTCCCCGAACCACTATCCTAACCCAAGAGCCATTACTTGCGTAACCCCATTGGCGTAATAACCTTTTGATTTTTTTTTCTCTACGACCCAGTTGTTTCATCACCTTAAAGAAGAGATGCTGTCTGAAGATTTTTTGAAAAAATTCCCTTCCAGGTGACGATGAGACGATCGATGAGACAAGACTTATGTCACGTGACGTTTTGCCCAGACCCAAGGCCCTGTTTGCAAAAAAATTCCGCGAAGTACTGGATTATCACAACAAAATGGCAGCCGAGAACGACGATGAATCGGGTGAAGACAGCACATTAAGAAAGCTCTCAGATTTGAGCAAGTACTCTTATGCAAGTGTTTGTAGTATTATACTGTCAAACTTGTTTGAGACATCAGCTGATAGGTAGGTCCGTAGATGCAGTGTTGACTGTAAACTTAATTTTAAATTGAAGAAGCTGCTGATCTTTTTAATTTGGCTGTTTGTTTACTATGTTAGATGTTAAACCACAAATTATTATTTTTTAATTTTTGTCTAGTTTTAGGGAAAAGTATATCATGTTTGTTACTGGAAAAAACACGTTTTTTCGGTCCCTACATAATCCCCGGCTTAAGATTTAAAGTGGCTTATAAAATGCTCCTATCTTAGTTTGCAACGACGTGACATCGATAAGGCGGCCATGTTAGGGGTCAATGCAATAAAATTTTTCTTGAAGAATTTACATGAAAATGGCCAACACGGCTACCATGATGTGACGTACAAACCAGCAATTGAGCGACAGACCTATCATGTAAATAATAAACAATTAACAACTGTTCTTTAAAATCGAGGTAAATATTCTTATTCACCGAGATTGGTAAGAATAATTGTTTTAGTATATACTCATAAAGTGATCTCAACAGAATGAAAAAGGAAATCATTAACAAATGACTTTACAACTTGACTGTGTGTGTCAAGCAAATGTGTGAAAAATGCATACTATGAAAAAATGGGATTAATCATTAACTCATTTCATACATTCACAGTGCCAAGAGCCAACTCTAAAACTTTGTAGCAAAAATCTGAGTTCACAATGGCAATTTTGTTTTGCCTTGCATTCACTGTCTATTGCAGTGAATAAAACGTCATAGTTCGAAATAGCAAACCAATCAGATTGCTCAGAATACCAAGATCACTGAGTTTGCATGTACTAATACAAAATACTGGGTAAAATGTCTGAGAAACGACCTTCAGATAAATAATATAAGTTATGTTATCATTCATTCAAATTATTTTATTTCTCCATAATTTTTTCTAATGAATTCAAATCCCCCAGTTTATTCAACATATAACCAGCCGGTGTTTATCGTATTAATATTTGAGTGTATGCATGGAGACAGGGGCTCAGTAGCCTAGCTGTTTTGGCATGAGTGATCTCGACAAAAAGATGGAAATGTTTATGGCCATCTTAAGATAATAGCCAAATAATCTTTTATTTACTAAAACTCAACAAAGAAACCACAAGAACATTAAAATAATATTGCTGGATGAATGACATCTATTTTATTAAGAGTGTCTACAAGGAAAAAAAACATCTGTTCTTGTGAAAATAAAACGGTACCAAGAAACAGGCAAATGTTTTGAATAAAGTCTTGGAGTAGGTAAGGGTGTTAGGAACTTAGAAATAAAATTTTGAAAGAATAATATAGCAATTATTGAATTGGGCTTTTATATTGAAGTGTTATGCACCTCTTGGAGACTGTTATCCACCTTGTTATAAATAATTCTTTATACCATGTTCAGCCTCATTTAGTTATTATTTTGAATTAGTTTCTAATGAGCTAAATTTAAATAAATTTGAAATTGCAGCTGTTAAGTTCAGAGCTCCTCTCCTCAACTTCATCTTCTTGTGATGTTACAGCTGTTTCAGATAACACGCGACCTACATAATTGACAAAAACATTTCAGAATTTTAGGTTTGTCTTCAATGTCAATAATTAAACCATTACTATACTATTCAATCCTTGCTTGTCAATTAAAGGAGGTAATATTGAGCAGAAACTGCAAATGAAATGTTGATGGGAATGTACTGATTTGTTTTCACTTCCCTGAACTGTGTTTCTTCAGGATTTGGAGGCTGTATAGGAGCGATTTCACCTTTGGAGATTCTAAACTTCTTAAGTTATTATGTTTCAGTAAGAAGGTAAAAAAACTTGAGAGCTAAAATGTGAAAACACTCGAACTCTGAGTTTCAAAAGCAATGAATCTTGAAACACAGAAACACACAAAACGGATCAAAATCCACCAATCACAAATCACAAACCATCGCCTTTTTCAGCTGTGGCCTCACTAAAGCCTTTGATCATTCCACATGTCTGGGAACTTGCCTGTGTCAAGAGACAGGTTTAATAACCATGCTAGAAACAGCTGGTAATAACTCGTCAATACATTCCCTGACAATATCAGTGGGGATAGGATTGCTGTTACAAGAGTTAGCAGGGTGCAACAAAAATCATTTTTACATACAGCTTGCCATTCGGGCTGGCTGAAGCTAGCATTTACTTGCCCAGATGTCATTTCATCTAGCCCCAAAAGCTTTTTGATGAGCAGAATTGTGGATGGCTATTTCCACTGGATCATGTCAATGAAGTTGGTAAGATACCCCCTTTTGGCTTGCTCCATATAGATGGTTAATGCAAGAGTCTGTAAAGTTTAGTCTGTCAGATTCAAGCTTAGTTTTCTCTTAATCTGTTCATGTTTCTGGCATAACTGTTTTGCTGCCTTGATCTTGTTGTTAAACCATTGGACGCGTGGGCCCACTTTCATGGTCTTCTTCATAACAAGAACATGAATGAAGATGATATATGGTTGTCATGGTGGAGTAGCATTGCTTTAAATCTCTATCACAGGTCTTATTCTCTATGAAATCCTCAACAAGAATTTTTTCACTTCTGCTTTTCTTTTTGTATTATTTGTGAATTAATACTACTATTATGATTATCTTTATTTACTTCAACAAATCCCTATTATTGAATGAGTGGCCACTAATTCATGAAGACATGCATCAGTTAGTAGCTCACGTGACTCGAGCTAGTCTTCCAGCTCAGCCTCATTGAGGTGCATCCAAGCCTTTTTCTCAGATTTTGTCTTCCCATCTCTGTCTCTTCCTGCCTCACAATTTTGTCCTTGGTATTTATTCCTTCCAATACAAACTTTTCCAAAGAATCAAGCCTCTTTATGTGACCAAAGTACCATAATATATGATGTTCACATCTGGACCATCATTGTGGGCATTCACGCTCCTTATGGAGGCATCCACCCCCCTCTAAGCCCCCTGCACATGCATAACTGCTCTGTAATATTTAACATTAGAGATTGAATGCTGTGATTTACTGTCTTTGTATCGCACTGGTACAATATATTGCAGGCTTGTAAGATTCACATGAGAATTCAAGACTATAGTTTTGCTGTGTTCTCATGCTGATATGAGTTGCCTTCTGATCTCTTGAGTACACTTCCCATCCTGAGATATCTAGGAGCCCTATTAAAGTACAATGTATTATTCAAAATTTTTGTCATCCTGCAAATTTTCACCATTGACTTGAATATTTAATTAAAATTCATTTTGTCAGTCTTCATAACTTCAGCTTTCTTTCCTCTATCATTAGGCCCAAGTTAACTAAGTGCCTTGTTATTGATTCAAATGACTGACACTCTGGGTTAAGTTTTGTTCTGATAATTCAGGGTTCATCTTTGTTAACTTTCTTTTTTGCTACAAAGTTCAGCTCCGACCTTGACAAACAGGAACGCTCTTACAGTGGCATTCAGTCTCGCTTGCTTGGAGATTAGATCAAGAAATGAGAAGGCGATTAATTCTACATGAAACAGCATTTACTCGCTGAAGGTTTTTTACTTCCTACTATGTCGACGTTGATACTTTTTATTTGTTTCTGAATTAATTCAGTATGCATGTTAGCAACAACCGCAAATATGTCTGCAGTCACAGGCTATATGCGTGTATAAATACATGAAAATTCAAGGGCCTCGATTCCAGAGAAATTACATCATTGCCAGAGATCAAAAAAGTGATTTACATGGCACGTCATTTCAGTCATTGCCCAAAATAAACTGCATGTTCATCAGAAGAGCCATTTGCATACAATGAAAGTTTACAACACCTGACCATTGCAGTTTTGCTAAGTAAGATTCTTATTTTTTTTGACCACTCAGTAGTGTTAATAACTTAATTGTTTCAAAGTAATCAATGCTTTCAAGCTATAGAATTCTTGGACCGACATGTTTCGGAAAAAGCTCCAAGTTTAATCTTTCCTAAGCTAATGTGTGGCTTCGATCACGCAACAATTCTTAGTCCCAGTTTCCACTGTCTCCACAAGGAATGCTAGTGGCACAATGACCCCATTTGTGTACATTAAATACCACAAAAATCAAGTCGCAGATTATGAGTCTTGCTGCTTATGCAAGTGAGACTGATAACCATGTGGAAAGAGTTGTAAACCATCATTTTGCAAGCTGTTCTTTTGTGCTTGATTTTAGGAAATGGAGTGAACAAGTTATTAAAGCAGTTGTAAAGCACCTTGATCTGCCACAACAAGGTACTGGTAGTACTTATACAGATCTCAGCTTATAATGTTTCCCTAAATACTATACACATGTATGAGTCCCTCTAAGGTAGAAGGGGGGGGGAGGGGTTGGGTATGTATTTTGCTAGTCTGAATTTCAAATACGGTCATTTCAGGTTTTGAGGTGGAGTAGACCATTTCCCTGTTGGTATTCACTCCATCTTATGTCATTTGTTGTCATTTTATGCGGTCTTATGTGGCTATTTCAAAGTCATGTCACTTGTCGAAATTTTACCCAAACAGGCGAGGACCTCACATATTGCCTTTTGTTAGAATAATCCTGATTCTAACCATCTTAATATACAAATCAACATATACACCATCCTAACTTCAGTGGAACCTTGTAATCCTATTTTTAGTAGCTTTTAAGTTTAAAAGTTAGGTCTTGTATTAAATATAGACAGCAGTTTTTGGCAAACAGTTGAAGACTTGTTGTTAATTTTTGTCCATTAGTTCTCTCAACACTCCTACATTTGGTTCAAACTGAAAATTGTGAGGATGAAGCAGAGAAAATTGATATGCAGATGGCACCTCTTATAGCTGCTCTCAAGACTGAATCACAGTTGCAAGACACACTTGTACTACTTCCGAAGGTACTTGTAACACATTTACATTCAGGTTTCTCTTATTTCCACCCATCCTCCTCCCTTTCCTTTGGAAAGAAAGAGAGGATTAACAAGGAATGGAAAAACTACTGACAGGTTTTTTTTGCTGTACTGGTTCCATATTGGAAGAAATGTGAGGTACATGCAATGTATTATTATTATATAATTAAGGGATTATATAATTTTAAAGAATTGGCTGTAAACATAGCTGCTAAAACGTGATGTGGTGCCCATATATATACGGTAAATTTAAAAACCTCAAGAAGTCACTAATTGGAAATGTTTTGTGAACCTGACTATTCTCTATAAATTAAGCTAATTCTGACATACACATAAGCTACTTTGCACATGCAGTTGTAAATAAATTTCCAGGCCTGGTTCCTGATCTGAAAGCTTGATTTGCGCTAATCCAGGATTAAAATTTTGTTTGGTTTTTGTTTCTTACCTTCCTATGTATTGCTTAGAGTAATATTTTGTATTATCATTACCCTTACCACAGTAAAGGCTCAACAGTATGTTATAAGCTTGAGTTGAGTGTTCTTTTCAAATACAATCCTTAAAATACAAGAAAATACTTAATCCTGGGTTAAAGTTAACTATCTCTATTGGTAAGTGGCTTTGTAAGTAGTTTAAATTATACAAAAGAGCTACAGTGAAAGATCTTTAGGCTGACACCATAACCCCATTGTTATTTGTAGTATTATATATATGGAAACATGGCCGCCATGAGAATTATATGCACTTTACAACAAAGGTACCAAATATAACAAATATAATAACATAAGAACTACTTAACATAAGAACTTTATAAGTGCAAATGTATTTAGCTGTACTAAATAGAAGACAGCTAACTGGGGACACAAATCTAAAAATACATAAAAATAATAATAGTAATAATAATAATCTATGATAATAATAAATAATAATAATAATAATAATAATGATAATAATAATAGTAATAATTGGGCACACTAATCTAAAATACATAATAATTCATAATAATACACATTAAAATCTTAAAAATCTTGAAATCACAAAATCAGGATCTGCAAAGGTCACAACAGTCACGGTTATTTACTAAAATACCAGAAAAATGATAGTATTCTTGAAAGACTGAAGACTAGGTGATTGCTTGATCTTGTTGTTTAGATTGTTCCATAGTTCCTGTCCAAAGTAATGAATTGAATGTTTCCTCTAGGTTATAATCAATGTAATTATTATAAAAATTGATCTTATAGTTGATCATTTAATGCAGTTATTTTGTAAATGATTAATTAACTCAAAACATTAAACGTGCTTAAAACAAGTTTTTACGTGTATCTTTTAGTAACATGATTATAGAGCTACAAGAAGATCATTCCTTAGAGTTTTGCGAACGCTTGCTAATTTCCAATACATTCTTACTAGGATTTGCTGAGTCTTATTCAGGAATTAGGTAAGCTGTGCATCATTAGAATTTGTTAATAAATTAAATAAATTCTGTATAAACTCACCAAGTCTGATTTTGGACTTGTGCCTTCAATTTTATTGTTTTAGGTAAAACAACCTCTTAATCCTGAAACATTTAAAGGAATAGTCAAGTTTTATGATTAAAGTGGCATAGATCTCAAAGTTACAGTATAGTTTAGAAACTCTCATCCGCCCCCGGTTGTTCAAAAGTTGGATAGCACTATCCAGCAGATAGTCCAACTGATTTCCGTAATACTTATCCGCTGGATAGTGATTTATGCGGTAGATAGCGTTATCCAACGTTTGAACAACAGGGGCCTGGCTTATAACCCATTCAATTACTAACAACTCTCTCTACATTCATGGTAACTTGTTCAGTGTGCCATGCATCTTAGAGAAGTGTGTGCGTTATAAAGAGTAAAAGATTGACCAAAGAAATATAGAGGTAGACATGCAGTACAGCAATTGTAGGTGTTCAATTTAGGAAGGTGTCTTTCTTTAAAATGTATCCTTTATTATAACAGGAGAGCTATAAGTATCTGTGCTTCTTGCTGCAAAGGTTTTTGATTTCATGGAAAGTAAGGTCAAATAAAATCCAGTATTATGCTGTCCACGCAAAGAGTTCTTAGAAATTAGGGAAGGTAGGGTGGGGGTTGAATGTTATAATATGGACTCTACTCCCTGATCAGACTTTTCTTTATGTACAGAGTGAAATATCAGCTCTTATAATCATGATTTTATTTCACTGCAGGTGGTTATGATGCCAGGTTAAGAGTTTTGATATTTCATTTGGGGGATCAGCTACTGGTACAGCGTTCAGTGCTGAAAAATCATGAAAATGACCTTGTTGAAAGGTTAAAACAACTGAAAAATTGTGAACCAAGGTAGGGAAAACATGTCTGAATGCTCAAGATATAATTTTACCGCAAATATAAGAAAATTTCATCAGGACAAAAGATGCGGGTGTCCATAGAGCACAGTTTCACTGTTTTACATAAAGAATACAATGATTTAATGAACCTATGTAAAATAAAGTCCGTTGATATAACTCGATATAACAAAGTCCTCGTTAAAATATAGACTTCAAAACAGTCAATTTTTTCCTCAAAATCAGTAAATAATCGGTAAAGCGTGGCGTAAGAGTCTGTAAAGCATAAAGACTCTTTTGTGAGTGAAGATCATGCCCGTAAGGGCTTGTGAGGCGAGAGAAGAAAAAACGTATTTTTAGCGTCTCTCCCCACTCTCGCTCTCTGTTTTCAGCCCCATTTCAGACCTTTTGTTTGACTGCTCGCGCGTACTTGAATAAGCAAAAATACAGACTGTTTTGCACTCTAGTTTGAATGCAATCTAGAAGCGCAAATGTATAGTATGTACCTCGGTGAAATTGTTTAGATCTGGAAATCCTAGGCATGGAGAATAATAATGTAATATACGGGGGGTGACAACTCTAACAAAGGCTGTTTGGGCAGTCCTATGAATAACTTTATGTCCTCCCGGAAATTTCGTCGACCCTCCCGAATTTTTCGGTGGCATTCCCCATAAATGTTTAACTTCCCAAAATTGTTTTAACAATTAAAATTAACATTTTGATTAGAGATTTTTTGCAGCTTCTTGTTAATTATGTAACTTGTTAATTATCTAACATCAGTTATTTTTTCGTTTAGAGGGTATCATGTTAACACAGAAAGAAGGTCAAACTTTTGAAGTATATAAAGGCGAGCAGTAAAGGGGCCAACCACTAGGGGGGTCTGGTGGCATGCTCCCCCAGAAAATTATGAAATCTTAGTGCTCTGAAACGCCATTTCTAGCGTTCTGAGAGGACAAATTCTGTCCAAAATGTTCTCTAAATCAATAATATTGTCCTTTTTATGCTTATTTTTATTGGCGTGAATTCGCGTAGAAGTAGTCAATTTTATTTTATGCAAGTTGTGCGGTTTTTGAAATTGCTCTGGATATCACTTTCAACTAAGTATACTATGTGTGGTGTCATTGTACGAATTCATTTGAAAATTTCAGAACAACTGTCGAAATCTGAAATTTTCCTATCCCGAACGCATATTGATCGGGATTCGGGATTTTCGAGCAAAGTCGGAAGGACCCCGACGAGATCAGGATGATTAAAGAATCTTCACAGACATACTACTTTTTATGGCCTCATTTGTGTTTAACAAGGTTAAATGAGTTTCGTTTTTTTTCTGACATACTTCTTACGTACTTCTTTCAAGTTTTCCAGTATGCAATCGGTGGAATGTGCTCTTAAAACTCGTTAACATGCAGCGTAAAAATACCCCTGAACTAATGAATGATGGGATCTGGTGTGAACTGATAGTATGTGCTTTGCACCGGTACGGTTCTTGTGTCAATCCGCTGGGGATTGCACGTGGTCAATCGCACTCGAACTTCGTGCTATTTTAGTTGGAGTCATTGCTGAATGGTCTTTTCATATCATGGGGAGTTCAGCCGTTTTCTAGTGTCAAAATACATAGAATACAGCGAATACACTGGCTGCATATCACTGTATATATATATTGTTTGATAACATGTAATATGAAATCTTTGCTCAATGTCCCGAAAATATCTCAAATTTCCCGAAAAAATTCCCAGGTTTCCCGATTCCCGGCAAAATCTCCAGATTCCCGGAATAAATTTGTTTTTCTCCCGAAACAGCCCTTGTTAGAGCTGTCACCCCCCGTTAATATACCTAACTGTGTCCCTTGGTTTGCAATAGAATGATTGAACCCTTTTTATAATGAACAAATTTCCCTAGTCCCTTGGCACTTTGTTAAATCGAGGTTCCACTCTATGTGTGGATAAAGGTGATTTTTTTGCTGGTTATGAAGAATAAGTACCTGGGTGATTTAAGCTAATCAGGAATGGAGAAATTTTTTGGAATGAATACAATGTAACTGATGTAACTCTTTTTATTGTTCCTGAAAAGCCCCCTTAGGAAGGAGGCAATACTGTAGGTACATATGAACAGTATAAAAGAGTGTTGGCCAAACGTGTATCAAAAGTGCCTCATGGGGAATAATTAGGGGCAATGTGAATGCCAATATCAGGGAACTCGCAATGCATACAACATATTTTACAAATGCAAAAGTAGAGAGGGAGTTTTCATTTATCCTGATGTTTGTTTGTTACTGTCCCGTCACTGATGTCAAGCAAGAGCAACCAGAAACAACTTTTAAGATAAACAGTTACTTAATTAATGACCTAATCCCCAATTGCTGCAGGTCGGAGCTGAGGTTTCATCAGTTAAGACTATAAAAGTTCAGTGCCGGCTCCAGACTTTGAGGCAATGTAATTCAAAGTTCTTGTCCCTAAAACCAGACTCCCATAAATGCTTTCATACCTTTCTTAGATTCCAGACTATCACTTGGTTATCACTCTTCTTGAAAGAGAGCTACATAACAAGCGTCATATTAATAATGTTAATAGCAAATCTTACACTGCACTATTTGTACATGTACAGCTGTAATATGTAGTTGTTATGTCTCAGGATGACTTTTTATGTTGAAGTTTTGGTTTCACCAAGCCTTTCTCATGAGAGTTGTTTTCTTTTTTAGTGAAGATGCTGAGGTACAAAGGAAAAAGAAAGTTACAAGGCAAAGGAAAAAAGCTTTTATGATTGCACTGGGAGCAATAGGTGGAGGAGCTTTAATTGGTATGTATTGTACATGTCCCTTATAACGTGTATAACCTGCGACCGCAGACGTATTTCCGGTCGTCTCTAACACGCGTACTAAGAAGTACTAAATCAATTCAGAAACAAATAAAAAGTAAATATCCTGAAGAATACTCGACATCGATAAGGTAGGAAGTAAAAATCCTTTAGCAAGGCAATCCTGTTTCGTGTAGAATTAATCGCCTCCTCCAAGCAAGCCAGACTGACGGCCGCTGTAAGAGTGTTCTTGTTTTAAGACAGAAATTCAGATGTATGGCCTTCATATAGCCATGAAGTTTTTCACTAACAGCTAAGCTTCCGCGTCACTTTCTTATCTTGTGTGATGTCAAAATGGTTGTATATTGCGTGCATCCTCCAAATTTGATCAGCACTGGTTGGTTACGAAGAATAAGCTTGGGAATTAAAGCCAATCACAAATGGAGAAATATTTTGAATAACACCATCATCATCTATGTTTTCATAATATCAAAGAGCTTTACATTGAGTATGTTAACAGATGTGCGTAAAGTCAAGGAGAGTCGCAGTATGCTTGAGGTGTTCAGTGGTTGGATTAGCTTTTTCACAACCTTTCCTTACAAAAGGAAATTAAGGAAGAATACAGTACAGTACAACTCTAGTTACATAATTCAAACGCGCGTTTTTTGATTTTGTGGCCAGAGTGCAAACAAGCAAAAGTACAGACAGAAAAGAATTTTACATCCTATTAATCTAAGTTTGTGGCTTCTAAGGAGCATTATTTGTTTTGTGTATTGAGTAAGCAAAAGTAACTTGAATATTTGGTTCACCATCACCATTAATTCGCCACCATCACCTACCATCATCATCATCATCATCATCATTGTTGTCGTCGTCGTCGTTGTCATCATTAGGGAGTTTAAGATACCGCGACGGTGACGGCCACGAAAACGTTGCTTCAAAAGTGAATTTGCGTTCTTTCGATCTCTATCGCGATCACTCGAACTCATTTACTTTGTCAAATGCAAGCGAACTCTTTTTGAGCTGAATTCCTAAGAATCATATTCAAGTTCAGAAAGAGAAAGAAAATTTAGTCGTCGCTTGTTTACGTCCTCCGTAAAACGTGAAAATAGGCATTTTCCCGTCGTAGTCGTGCAGTGGCGGGAACGAAATGTGCATAAAAGCGTGATGCACGTGCAGAGTTGTTGTTTTGCCGTTTCAACGTATTGATTTTTTTAAAATTGTCGTTGTCCTCGCTGTTGTGACATCTTAAAGTCCCTATTGTGAACTTCACCGTCACCACCGCCCTTAACATTGTTATCCTCAGAATTGTGATCATTTATTGTTGTTGTTGTTATTCTTGTCTTTTCTCTAGGTGTTACTGGAGGACTGGCAGCACCGTTAGTAGCAGCAGGTGCCGGTGCTGTAATTGGGGCCAGCAGTGCAGCTGTCCTGGGTACCACAGCAGGCGTGGCAGTTATTGCTTCCTTATTTGGAGCTGCTGGAGCTGGATTAACTGGTATGATGTTTATAGATCCAGTGATATCCACTCATCTCTTTTTTCCTCTGCTCTCCTTCTTCCTTCTCTTTCTTCTTTCATTCCTTTCTTCCTTCTTTTCACTCTCCTTGCCTCTCGCCCATCTGACGATTTGACTTCCGCTTTAGCTTCTTTCCTTCATTTCTTTCGTATTGTTAACAGACTGAATCAGAACCAAGGATAACTCTCTCTCCTCAGTCGAAGGTCTTATAAGTCACTGCCATATTTTTTCATTTTTGTAGTGGGTACTAAACTGTCAAAATTTGGTTGTTTATGGTAAATGGTAGCTTGTGGCAGGTTCCCAGGGACTGTCCTTTGGACAAGCACCTTTCACATTTTACTAGACGAGGGCCATTACTTGCTTCCAAGTTTTGGTCAATGATTAAGTCATATGATGACTTGCCAGAAGTGAGCTTAAAAAGTTACTTGCCCGGCAAGATAATTTATTTGTCACGGAGAACAACGTTAACCGAACGGGAAAAAGCTAATAAATAAATAAGTAAAAAAATAATTAAAAAAAGTTAACTAAAAGTTTCCCAAGCACTGGGTAGCAATTACAGCTGTATAGTGCTTGCACGGAAAAATTATGATTTCGTATTTTCTCAGTGGACAGGTTGTTACCTATAAAAGGTTTAGTTTTATTCCTCGCCAATATGCTAAAAGAGGAGTTTGCGCGTGCGCAGCGGAAATTATTGGAAACCTATCGATGCGAGAAAATTTGGCTTTGACGTCAGCGTACGGCAAAATGACCTTACAGGCTTTAGTGGTTGGAGGAGAAGATACTCAGTAAGGGAGGTGAAGGGAGGGTTCAGACATGTACCTTCGGTCTGTCCTGTTGTAAAATTATCCAGTTTATAGAGGCAACCATTGGAGTTCCTTTTGTTATCGACAAGTGAAGCTTTGTGTAATTTTATGTTTGTAGTATTTCGTGCTCATCTATTGCGCTGCTACAAAATAAACTACAACAGCTATCAAGATTCTTCTGTTATTTACAGCTGGTTTGATGGCTTGTTTATTGTATTTGGGTTGGGGAAAGCGTTGCATTAAGTCAATGGAATGGCTCTGAAGCTTTTAAATTCATGGACGCAGTTTATTTTATCGTAGATTTCTCTCAAAGTCGATATGCAAGAAACAAGAAGGCTACTGCAGTGAAAGACGTCAAGTGGCCAAACGAACATTTCAATCATGTTTATGCTCGTCAAAGCGATATGAAATATCTGTATACTGACAATCTCTTATCGATTAAATAAGGGTGTTTTTCTCTTCGGCCCTTAAAAAGATAATAACTAGCTCAATAATATAACTACATCACCAAATAAACCTGCGCCACAAAAATTAAGCAAATTGAAGTAGAAACTGTTGAATACAAGCGAGCTCCATGTCACACAGTCGACGAATTTACTACCTTCACCTGTTCAGAGTATCGCCCTACATAACATGTCAAAGCTGTAAACACAAGATGTCAGTGCGGAAAATAGAGCTCTATTAGGCGACAAATAGTCTGCACAGAACAATGCACCCGTAAACTGAGTAGGTGTCGAATTCTAGGGCTGTAAAGTTATATGTTTGTTCTTATTTATTTAGCTTTTTAAGGAGAACGAGACTCCGCTCAAATATTTCAACTTCACCTTTTTTTTTACTGTTCTCTAATTTTAGGTGATTGCAAAGACTGAGGTATAAAATACCTGAAAATTGACTTTCGGAATTCCAATCCTGTGTTTTGCCTCTTTTCGCTCTATTGAAGCTGATGGGAGAAGCAAACATTTGTTTCAAAAACAGGATGTCTAAAATGTAACAGCGTAATATACATCAGGTTTTACCCAGCAACTGTTCAGTTATAGGTTTTGGTCCTTAATAGTAAACAATGCAGGGGAAATTGTGAGTTTATTTCAGTTTCGTGTGATGTTTCAACACCTCCCTATAGTTTATATAACATTGTATGTGCTCTTCTGACTTAGCTAATCCTATCTCCTTTTATAGATTGTTTTCACTGTCACGCAACAAAAAAATAAATTGGAAACCGTCCGGTGGAAGAAGCCAAGGAAATGAAATGTTATAAAAGACTGAAATGTAAACGATTTGTCCAAATTTCAGGTCTTTGTAGCCCTCAGTTTCTGATCATGAGTTATTTGCCGAAACGTTTCATGCACCTTTGTAGAGCTTTGTATGGAGACGCCATATTGGTGCACCGTTTTGGTCCACCAATATGGCCGCCGGAAATCAACAAAAGCATCTGGAGTTCACTTTTTCTATAAAAGCTCTTTCTTTTCACTCGAGAACTAGCATACGTGCGCATAAACATATCTTCTGATACTTGAAATGGTTATACTGCTGAAAATCAAGGAGAGACTTTTTTTCAACGAGACAGCATTCCTATTTTGGTGTCACGCACTGTAAAAACTCAAATTTCTGTATTTTCGAAATGAAATATGCTACGGGAATGGAAACTTGTGCAAAGATTTATTTTTTATTTATCTTCAACCTTGTGTAAATAAGAATTCGTAAAACCTCGTTATTTTGACTTTACAGTTTGATGACGTCACCGTGAAAACTATCTATACGGCGGGACAGTATGGGTGGCGGTAGTACTTGCCTTCACCTAATATAGTTTATATGGCACCAGTTCGCATCCCAGAGTCGATACCATATAAGTTCATATTTGGGCTTCCGCTTTTCCATTTGGGTTTCAGCTATGAGTGCACATGGCTGAGTTCTTAGTAGGAGTTCCTAGGCGTTTAATGTTTTGTCGTTAACTGGCCTTGATTGGCCTGTGATACACTAGGCAGGCGAGGTAATGGACAAAACAAAGTGAGGCCTAGGCCAGGCTAAACGTCGAACTTTTCATGATACGAACCAAACTCTAATTTAGGTCGACCTAAATTAAGTTATGGTCCTCTGTTAAATCAGACGTGGAACTTAGGACACGCCGAACCAATCAATTGAATCAGACCAATAAGCAATTTTAATAACTTTTCTTCCAAAAAGGCTAAATATACATTATCATACAAATTTTTAATTTATTAGTTTAGTTTATCGCATGAGATGATTGATTTTTGTCCCGGAGACGATCTTTAGACGTTCTATCCGTCTGAAGCAGACGCATAGAACTTGTTGGACGATCCAAACTCATTCAGACGAACTTAACTGAGCCAAAAGTCGACCTTTGCGTGATCTTACTGACTCACTAAGTCTGGTTCGTCTCATGGAACGTTCGACGTTTGGCCCCAGGCCTGAGCTATTACATTCAAAATGGTCCTTGATAAACAGTAATCAAAACCAGTAAGTCTCAGATGGATAGTTACAGGGTAACTTTTGTGTTTTCAGCCGTTATAGCGTATTCTGGAGACGACTTATCTTAATGATATGCATGACGTCATCGGCGTTAATTTATGCCACTTAAAAAGTTTATTAAATCCACAAAGAAAAGAAAAACATCCCTATAATTAGTAGAACGCCGGCATTAACATCTAGAACGAAGGCAGTAACTAGTTTGTGAGTTTGTGTTAACAGAACTTTGCTTCTTAGGTACTGTAGTATAAATGGACAGACACGACGTTCTAGATGTCAACGTTTTCCTTGCCCTAGATTGTTTCTGAACCCGATTAATTCCTGTGTGGCTGCATAATTGCGCCTGTTTAACATAAAACATTTGAATTGCCTTCCTTTCAGGTTACAAACTTGTTTCATGCTACACTCGGTATATTCGACGAATTTATGTCGTGAAACTACTTTGAAGCAAACACGGTTTCTTTGAGGTTTCCTTTTTTAATTGTTTACAAATTAAGCTTAATTTATGCTGTATGAATCGTTTCTCATTAACAATGGAGGCGCTTATCGTTTTTTTGTAATAACTAGCTCAGTTTGTGATTGAGCGTCACCTGCTCTCGGGGAATAAATATATATAGTTTTTAAAAGAAACAATGCCAGCCCATATTGCGAGCTATAAAACATTTTTAAAAAGTTGACGCGATCTTTTTGCTTTATGGTTTTCTTTTTATTTAAGTGCCTTAATTCTCGCTCTCCGCGCGGTAGGGAAAAATGGAAAAGCGCCAGGAAACTAACAGACGAAGAGGTGCTTTACCAAAAATTAACAAAGAAACACACGCAGGATTCTCCTTTCGTTGAAATGCTTCGATCGAGTACAAAACTGTGTGAACAATGGCGCCGTTTGCTTTTTCCGTTTCCAAAATTAACCCAACCCAACATGCAGTAAGTGAGAACTATTTTAGAAAATGTTCATAAAAAGTAATGAAATCAACAGCGTAAAGGCAACGACTGAAGCTTAGAATAAGAAACAACTTACTTTGTTGTGAAGGACGTTGATTAGCTTTTGCAAATTCCTCTCGTTTTGTCGCGGAGAAAGTTAAACAAACCGTCCTGGATGGAATAAATTCGTGGTCACTCTTTTTTTATCTTTATTAATACGTTTACATTAACTACAATAATGACCCACTTTCTCTGTGATTTTGGCAACTGATCCGCACCCTTTTTGACCCTATTCTACTTTAATTAATAAACATGTGAGGGGATAAGCGTTTAGATTTAATTCAGTTTCTTGGGTGGATTGTTAACATTTTTTTGGGAACTGGCTTTATGCCTACCGTACTTAAGAAGACGACTACATCTCCGGAGGAGAATAAGAACTTCAGGCCTATCTGTCTAATCTACGCGTTGTTTCGAAAATCACTGAAAAAAAGTTTTGCTACCCAGATAATTAAGTACCTTGATGTTAACTTCCTCTGTGTGGATTTTCAATCTGCTTACTGAGAATTTCATAGTACAGTGATGTTCACTTGATATTGCTATTGCTATTGATAATCAGGAATCAGTCAGTAATTCTTTTGCTTCTTGATATATCGGCTGCCCTCGATACTGTAGACGATGATATTCTTCTTTTGCCTCTTTGTAAACGTTTTGCTGTCTCTAGGTTCTGTGTTAAAATGGTTCCATTCGAGAATGACAATCATATCTTTCTGATCGTACAAAGTTCGATTTTCATCAAGGTACATGGGGCTTCGTCTGATCATCAGTAACTCTCCAGTATGGTGGTGACCTCAAGAAGCGCCTGTTGTTGTGATGTTCCCATTATTGCATTCGACGTTTGGAGAGCGCAACACCCAATTTCTGTGATACTTGGTGATCCTGTGCGGGTGACATTTCCGCTAATAGGCAACTTTCGATATATTAAGATTCAGCATGATGGCGAGTCTTACAGGACACAAACAAAGAAAATGGTTTATTCACGTTTACTCATTTTCTTTGTTTGTGTCCTCTAAGACTCGCTATCATGCTGAATTTTAATATATCGAAAGTGGCCTATTTATGTCTGCATTTTTCGACGTCATTTTGAATTACGTCACATGCGCATGCGCATCACCCTTTTGATCACTTCAACAACTGTTGTCGAAAGCACGGAGTTATTTGAGTTTGGCGAGGAAATGAATAGTTTTCGAAGCAGGTTTTATCGCTGAGCTGGCGATTCTATCCTACCTTTCTCGGTGTTTCTACATGGCTAGGTCAAAAGGTGTTATACCAGTCAAAACGAGCTGAAACAGGTAATAGCTGGTCATCTGTGCTCTATTGAGGAATTTACCCGTGCGTTTGAGTCTATTTATGTATTCGCAGTTTTATTTCTCACCTGCACCAAGAACAATCCGGGACAAAGTACGTCTGCAGATTTTTTACCCGTGTATTCCTCCTTTTATACGTGTAATGCTTTATCGACGTCTGATATATCTGCTCGGCATCACTTCGCCTATAAACAATAAAACACGATGAACTGACGTACACGATCTGAGTAAAGATGAATAGTTCGCACAATGACATACAGTGGCAAAAGTTGTTGTACCGTGATGATGCATGTCAGGTTCATTTATGATTTTTTTATCTTCAAGGCGGGGCGGGGTTGGGGGGGGGGTTGCGTTTTTGTCGGGAAAATCCAAATCCGGATTTCCGAATCCAAAAACGGATTTTGCGTTTTGGGGGGGCAAATCCAAAAACGGCTCATGAATCCATTAAATCCAGACTCAGGGCGGATTCTTCGGATCAAATCCAAATCAGGATTTTCGAGGTTCACAATCTGAGCGTCTTTTTGGGACAGGATTTGAAAAAAGTATTTTTGACAAGCGGTTGCTCGAAAAAAGAAATGGTACGCGACGGAAGCCGTACATGTATGACATTGCAACTGAACCTATGTTGGTGGCGCCTTATTTTTAAATCCCCTTACTTGTCATTTTTTTTGTACGTATGTAGTCCCTGCTTACGCCGGTTTATTTTCCAAGTAATTAAAAAGACATTTCATCGGCTTCACTTTTAAATAATTCTTATAATTTCACTATCCTAAGGAGTGTATTCTATTAGAGAAACGTTTCTGTTTCAAACCGAAATATATCTACATTTCGTTTATTCATTCGTAGCTTATGTTGCTTTTTGTTCTTGTCTTTGACGCGAGGATCAGTTTGCTCTTTTTTTTCTCACGAGGAGCACGAGGACATGCCGTTGTCATGGTAAATGATCCTTTTTCGGATCTTCCGTTTGTTCGGTAGTGAACAATCCATATGATCTGAGATCACAAATCGGTTTTTGGATTCCCCCCAAAAAACGCATTGGTGACCGCTAGCGTTTCTCATTTTGTCACCGCCGCTACAAAGTTTTCATGTTGTTCTTCCAACAAAAAAAATGTCTCCTTTGTTTTTTATCTCTGGATCTCTGTCGCCCTTTTTCTCGTTGAGCTTCGCTGGCCTGCCACGTACTTTCTCTGTTTCTCTGTCCCTCTTTTGCTTTATATTCTAAATTTGTGCACATGACAATTAATCTAAGCTTATACTTCAGACAACACGGATACAGAAACAATTTCCGCTTTCCGTTTTCGTGCTTATTGACTTTTCAGTTGCCTTTGCTTTACAAGACGCCGGTGGCTATGCGATTTCCCTCCAAAATAACCTCGAGTTGCATTTGGGTTGCCATACCTGTTCATTGAGTTATTTTACATTGGTATGCTTGTGGTGCGGACGGACGGTCGGGCGGGCGTACGGTCACATGATTACCAAATTTTCTCGGGTAGATTACTTTATTTTCTTACCCATGGTGCTCCGCTGCGCGCGCTTCGCGCCCGAGAGCTCCGCTACTAATAGGCTTCAATAATGCATGCGCTTTATAATTATTATGAGGTACATGTATATCTGAATTGTTGTTTGACAATGAGTAATTTTGGTATGTCGTATGTTTGTTCAAATTATTAATAATAATGATAATAAGATGTACCAGTCAAGAGTATATCACCAACTGATGGCAATATTCATTCAATCAGATCAATTGAAATAAACGGTTCTTACATGAATACAAGTTTAAGAAGCTCGTATCATCAAATCACAGAGCTGTGATAGGTGTTGATATAACTTGAACGTACTAGAACTGTGATCTGTGAATTGTAAGCCGAAGGAGAGAAATCAATTACTCGATTACTCTGCAGCAGCTACAATTACCAGGCTGAGATGGAAATGCTAGAAGCAAACAAGCCAGAGAAAAAAGACGGATAACAAGATGAACAGCGCCCCCAAAAAAAAAAAAAAAAAAAAATAAACAATTCAGTGCCAGCAGTTGCTTTGCGCTCTGCCCCTTTATTCGAGCTAAATGTAGCAAGTCAGTGACAACTAAAGAGACCTGGCTATTGTTAGTATGATTTGAAAGCTTCTAATACACATTAAACTTTGTAGGATATCGTCTCAGCAGAAGGATAGGAGAAGTCGAGCAGTTTGAATTTGAACCACTTGGAAATGGCGAGCAGTTACATCTTGTTGTCGCTATTTCGGGTTGGCTAAAAGACGATGAGCAAGGTTTGTGTAAAACAGTATTGACCCGTAAAAACATTACTAGAAGGTATAGATTATATAGCAATACAATAGTTGACGCGGACGGACAAACTTGGAGTAGATCAGTTATAGGTAAAACGGTTTGCAATCGTGGTTTTTAGAAACTGGTTAGCCACCAGTTTTTCAAAGTTGATTTTCAGGGATGATTATTTAGTGTATCTACATATTATTTCAGTGTTGTTCGGTGTACGTTTTGCCCAGTTTTCATTTTGTAAAAACTGTTTTTCATCGTTATTTAAGTTTTTTTTTAATATTTAATTATTTTACCATGAATACAGCACCAGTATGTGCAGTAAAGTATTTTCTATTCATTTCACACTATGCATGGAATCCTTTTCCTCTCTCATGTTCGTAGACATAAAGACTGCATTTCAGGATCCGTGGAGACATTTAAACATTTCGTTAGAACAGTACAGCTTGATTTGGGAGTCAAGGTAATTTATGGCTTGTGCTAGAGCAGCTTTGAATTCAGTGCCCTATTTTTTCCTTTTTATTCTCGTTCATGAGTAATAAAACCTATCAATTTACTTTTTTTTGAACAAAGTTAGTCGTACTTTCTGGATGGTAAATGACTGTTTTATTATTATTATTTTTATTTTTTTTAATCAAAACTGACTTGCACTCAAGTTGTACGAAATGTAATATAGTTCTACTTCGTATAAAATGCAGACAAGTTTTACCTGAGTGTGTATCCGGCAGAAAGTGATACGCTTCATAGTATATAGACCTGCATGGTCTTATCGCTTGGTCGTTGGTGTATTCTGATCTAGATCTCATCATTAGTGTCGCATTCTCAGCATCTAAATAAGTTAGTATTTGCAACGTGTTATCCTTTACTGATCCAGATTAACGCCTATTGATTTACGCACAATAATGACATAGTTCAATCAACACGAAATTCAGTTTCCAAAGTAAGTGAAATAATGCGACAAGAACACAAGTAAACTAACACGAAATGCGACAATGACAATAAAGAATTTAAAACCCTGATGGCGGTATAGTTCTTCCTAATTGCATCTGACTGTTTGCTATAAAAACAAAAAGCAACATCTTTGAATCAATAATGGTAAAATTAATGAAGCAAAGCCAAAAAAGGGTAAAGATAATGATGAAAGATATTGTCCAGTTGACAGTTAAAAGGTTTGATATTGTCTAACAAAGAAGATGCTCTGAAATATTTAAAATTATGTCTGTAAAAAACGTAATGATGCTTGTTGAAGAGATTGAGCTAGTCTCGACGGGGTAAAAGATTAGAGATGAACACTAACACATAAATGTTTTTATCAGTGTGAAAATTAAAGCTTTTGAAAATCCCTTTGATCAATGGAACTCGTAAGTGTTGGTTAACGTTTTGAAATGTGCGACCGGGTCTTTTCCAAACGCGTCGCCTCAACCGATTGATAGATAATGAGTTAATAAATTAAAGCATTTCTGATTTCAAGTTAAAAAGACTTCCCTTGCCGCCGTAACACCTGCTACAGCTCAATCCATTAGCACTAAGACCGATTAAAATACTAGAGTAAGTGCATGCTGTCCAAAGTTTATATTTTGTAATATCCCGCAGTGGGTAGCTGCTTACGTAAGTTTGAGGAACTTCTGTATAGATATTAGGGACTTTAAGATCCAACGACGCGACGACAACGAGAGCGTCGCTTAAAAAGTAAATTTACGTTCTTTCAGTCTTTATAGCGATTATTCCTACCCACTTACTTTGTCAAATGTGGGCGAACCCTCCTGAAGCTGAATTTCAAGTGACCATATCCAAGCTCAGAAAGAGATATAAAATTTCGTCGTTGGTTGTTTACGTCCTCCTTAAAACGCGAAATAAGGCGTTTCCACGTCGTTGTCGTGTAAAAACGAGAAAGAAATGTACAAAAAAAGTGTGATGCACGTGCGAAGTTGTTGTTTTGCTTATTAAACCTATTGTTTTTTTTACCTTCTCGTTGCCGTCCGCGTCGTTGGATCTTAAAGTCCCTATTGTTTTTCTACAGGTACTTGGCTGAAATGGGAAATGCGATGTATTCATTCTTTACTTCCAATTCCATCAGCTTTGTTACACAAGAGGCTCTCAAATACACCGTCCTTAATGGTATGAAGAGATATTGGTGTTTCTCTTTGTCGATGACAATAAAATAAATCAAAATCGTTGTCGAAGATTAAGATGTGAATGATTGCCCAATAATTCTACTATATACTACAATACAGGTAGTGTTACAAGAGCTGCTCAGTCATATATGCGGACGATTGATGATAGCAAATTAAGTGACTCCTGTGATCAGGTGCTCAAACCTTAACCATCCAGTCAGCTGAGATCATGTTTTGAACCAATGGCAAAACCCGCACATAACCACTATACATCTTCAACTTTAGGTTTTGAGAGCAAACATCTTTTCTTGGCGAGTAAAACAAATAAAGCCGGCAGAAGCTCTGCTCTTGCCGCGGGTAAACTATCTATTCACCACCAGGAGTAACAAATTTGGTGACTAAAAAATTAATCGTCAGTTACTGCTACAACAACATTTACAAACGATCCTCGCCGACCCGTGTATCGGAAACAACATTGTCAATAGTCATTTTTTAAAGTCACGGACAACAGAGTCTTAGACGGATGGTATTTTTATTTTTGTTCTTTGTAAGGTCTGATTACAGCTGTTACGTGGCCATTACTTCTCCTTCAATTGGGATATGCTATTGACAATCCATGGAATGTTTGCTCACGAAGAGCTGCTGAAACAGGAAAACTCCTGGCTGATGTCCTTATCTCCAGACAGCAGGTCGGTTATTAAAATATCTTAATACTGTAGACTCACTGCTGAGCCTTTATTTCAAACCTCACGCTATATCGAACATGTCTTTGTATTTTCTTACGTTTAAAATAGGGCAGGAGACCTGTGACGCTGGTTGGATTTAGTTTGGGTGCAAGAGTGATTTTCTTTTGTCTTGAAGCTTTGGCCAAGAAAGGTAAACCCTACTGTCTACATCCACAAAAGATAGCTGTTATATTTTACACCTTTATCTTTTACAGTATTAAGGAATAGTGGAGGGCGGGCAGTGGTGGAATTTTTGACGCGACGGAGATAGTTTAAGTTTGAGTTTATTGACAGTAAATAAACTAAAAAAGCTGACAGATTGCGGGTAGTAGCAGGGGTAAAGTTAATTCCCTTTCTAAGGCTACTCTCCTTTCGTGAATAAAAAAACCTTAATATTGTACTAAAAAAGCCTAAAATATGTTATAGGTATAATAAAATGAGATTTTTTACAAGGTAGCAGTTTATGTCAGAGAGGCCGTGCTTGGAGCACTGGTCACACCATAGGGTTGTTTCTAACCTGCCAGCAAGCTCAGCATTTCGAATGGCGAGTGAAACGAGCCGCGCGGGAATACGCGAGCGTCTTCTCTCGCGTGGCGCTCGTGCGTGATTTCTCACTGCATCCCCCAAATGGAGAGCTCGCTCGCAGACTACTTTGCTTCCCAAGAAAAGTCTGCTGTGACACGCGATATGAGTATGAGGGTATGGGATACTGCGATAGACTAGCATCTCAGACTCCTAGGTACTTCATGCTACAGAAACCAGTATAAGCTGCAGTTATGTGAGACTCTTTGGCTCATGTTACACTTTTACCTCTACATTATGATTAACCATGTATCATCCAAGTGTCGTATGACAGCCTCGTTCCTTTTCCGCTTGGTATGTTGTATGATTTTGTTTGTATCCCTATTGTTGTAGGAGCCCTGGGGATTGTTGAAGACGCCATTCTTTTGGGAGCGCCAGTCAGCGCTGATGAGAAAAAGTGGCGATTTGTTGGTCAAGTTGTTGCAGGAAAACTTATCAACGGTTACTGCAGGTTTGTGCCTGATTGGCTGTAATTTGGTATCCGTCTTGTGCATTCTCATTTTGTGATTTTATTACTCTTTCTTTTTTTTTTTTTTTTTTTTTAGCAAAGACTGGTTTTTGAGATACGTTTATCGTGCTGCTTCTGCGCAATTATCAATAGCTGGATTACAAGCAATCAAGTGGAAAAATCGAAGAATGATTAATGCTGATCTCTCTGAGCTGGTACGTCCCAGATTTACATGGGCCTTTTTACGATGGAACTGTTGACTTCTTTAGTATCTGAAAACAATGATATCTGTCAACAAGTTAGGCTCGGATAACCTGTAAGGGACGGACCATTAGAAAAGTCATGGGGGGGGAGGGGAATTTTCGAGCCGCAGGAATTGTTTTTCGCTATCAAATTCCTTGTATGAATTTTTTTTTAGGCCATAGCATGAATATTTTTTAGGGTTAATTGGCGTGCAAGAATTTTTTTCATTTAATTTTCCCTTGCGCGAATTTTTTTTTTTTGCACTTCGCCCCCCATAAATTTTCTAATGGTCCGTCCCTAAACAGCTAGCAGTACGCCTTCAGAGCCATCTCTTTACTAATTCATGCTCTCCGGGACTGTCTGACTTATTTCAGACAATCAATCACACAGGTCTGAGATGATCTTTTTCTGCTAAAAGAATATGTCTATAGGAGAGACGTTCTGCGAAGGCCTATAACCGGTCGCAAGAAATTTTAATTCAGTGTGGCTCGATGTGGCGATCTGAGCCTTCCTTGTTGTGTCTTGTCGTGTAACCCTTGTTTAACCACAGCCTTAGTAGTTAGATTTGGTTCACTGAAACTTAGCCATCATTATGAGGATCTCTGTAATCATTTACGGCAAGAAATGCAAGGCATTTTGATAACGTCATAGGTTGTGTAATTTCAAAACTATCATTAAGCACGCTGATATCATATGGCTTGCTTGTCGTCCACGCAAAATGTCTCACTGGTATTGTTGGTGCTTCATATGTCGAGAGTTCTTTTGCTCAAGTTTTAGCCTCCCCTGATGTAGATGGTTTACCTTGTAATATTTGCTAATGTGTATTTGACTTTTTGTGATTTTAGATTGACGGTCACTTGGAGTATTCAAACCCCGACAAAATTAAAACTGTACTTCAAATACTTGGAATTGATACCAAGTGTTGCGAAGCCGGCGCAACAGAAGCTGAAATAGACTCTGAAAATATCTGCACTGTCAATCAAACGATGCCATCTCATGACGAGGCTAAGAAAGTTGTCATGGAAATACTGGAAGAGAGAATTAAAGTTGCGCTTGAAGTGTGCACAATGACTCATCAGTCCTCTGAAACAGAACAACAGGACCTGCACGGACACGTGATAGTCACATCTTCTGATCACTCCCAGCTGTAAAAGATAGCAGTCTAATATGACAAGTAAATGGACCCTTTGCAGATTAATAGTCACGTGGGACAAAACTCGCTTTACTGTAGAGCATGAGACTAGACGCAGCCAAACTTCGTGTCTTTCAAGATCCGACTGTGTCGTTTGCTCTCCTCCGAGCAGCGAGGTTTTGTTGTACCATGTGACTGTTAAGCTGCAAAGTGCCCATTCCGCCAGTCTACGTCGAGAAGTGTAGTGGTTGCCAACCTTCTGCCAACTGAATATGAATAATATTTCACTTTTGATATGGACAGACTTTTTTTCACAAATACGCGCATCTTCGGTTCGGGACAATGAACTGGAATACCGTTAATATTACGTGCTAAATGATTATATTATGCTTACCAGTCACCGTACTATATTACAATACACCATTTCCGAGTTACCTCAAGCCTCTGTTTCAAAGCGAGGCTAAGTGCAAAGCCATTGAAGGCAAATACAACTTATTTTTAAAAGAAAAGTTTTGATCTTAGCCTCGTTAGATTTGAAAGTGAGTTTTTTGAACTTAGAAATGGTCTATTTAATGACAACACAAACACACTAGGGTGTTTTCATTTGGGGAGATTAAAAGGATCAGGATCTATCGGATCATGGTGCATAACAGAGCATAAAAGGAACCGCTATCTGGACAAGGATTCATCAGTACTCCTTAGTGACCTTGGATCATAAATCCTGTTGCGGATCATCCAAAAAGAACGTACCCCATAAGGACATAAGGACATTTTATAAATTAGTTAGCAAATTACCTGCTCACTTGATAATGTGAAAATAGATTATGAACAAAACAAATAGTTAGAATTATATTGAGAAAGGGATGGAATTCTAATGTACAGTTATTGATTATGTATTTTTATTAGGTCGAACTAGGGACATAAGTTTCGTCTTTGAAGGAAAATATTTAGATGTCAACAAATCTAGCTCAGTAAATAAATTTGTTTGAAGTGATTAGTATAAGCTCTGACAGTTAATTTTAAAATACCCATTTTTACCCGAGGAAAATTGCTCAGTTGCTGCTTAGGAACGTTGACAGTGGCAAGTGAGTTATAGTGTCATGAAGGTGATATATCGGCTTTAGTAATGACGTCATTACCCATGGCACGTGTTTTTCGATGTTTGTTACATTCCAGTTCGTTTCCGCTTCGCGCTGACTGGCGGAAATCTGACAGCTCAGTCGACGGAGAGCCACAGCCTTGAAATTGGAGCTGGAATTCAAATTCCAGAGCGAAGTTGCAAGCTCTCCCTCCTTTTCCCGCCTCGCCGCCATAGCGCCCCCGAGAGCTTGCTCGCAGGCTAATCCCATTTTCATTGTTTTGGTCTATTTGTGATTTCATCAAAATCCATTGAGGCTGATTTAAATATAGCGGCGATAGGCGATTTTATTTGTAATTTTAAAGGTATTTTTTCAGTATCGTTTTCCTTAACTCCAAATTTGATCCAGACGAATCCATGACTGAAGTTGGTGACCACCACGTAATTTTTTATGTAGTTTTAGACGTCGGGCCTTCTGTGTGTTACAGGAGAAAGTCCCCCTAGCTCTGAGTACGGTTCGGCAGGTCCTGTTAACATGAAAGAAGGTTTAATCTCAGATGAAAGGGTTACCCATTACCTCCATAATAAGGTGTACTTACTACTGTAAGAAGATTGTTTTTCGATTCACGAGCAAATTTGTGCCAAAATGTAGTAGGAGTACCTGCGGGGGGGGGGTACTTGGGTTAATATTTGCTGGGTATGTGCCGCTGGCCTCTCAGAGGGTGTACAATAGGGGTTCTCAAATCCCGCTTTCCCGCCTTTTTTTTCTTCTGAATCCCGCCATCCCGCTCTATTTTACGCCTGAATCCCGATCCCGCCTCATTTTTTAACGAGATTTTTTGTTTGATTATTGAAATAGACGTTATACGAGACTTACCTTCTAACAATTGTCAGTTTTGATGGTCAAGGTTCTCAACATCACGATAAGCGACCGCAACTTTATTTTCTGTTTTGCTTATTTTTTCGTCCACGCATCGGTACATTTTTACTTCGATATTTTAAGTCCTGTATTGTTGGAGTTAGGTAGATTGATGTTATCTGTCTGTCTCACGATGATTCGACTGCTTTGCTGCTAGTTTCCATCAGGCGATGAAGCCAATTCTGTCAATTGCTTATGTGGAGTGTAGGAAAATGTATATAAACACACAGGTTGTAAAGACTGGGAAAATGGTATCTTTTATGAAAACATAAACCTGTTATTGAATCGAATAGCTCGACCAAACGCGGACATCCTTCCAAGCAGAAAGTTTGCTTCTCCATCCAAAGTGGCTACCCTACCCTACCCTACCGTAGCGCAGGGCACAAAGTCCATTGATATTCCAGGTTACCGTATATACAAGGATATTGAGGTCGTTGAAATTCAGACCTCTCTTGAGTTCTCTTGAACTCTAAAACTCAGGTGGACTCACCTTGACTATTTCTTTTACGACTTTCAGGGTCTTCACTTGCCTTGAAACAGGAGCTATAAATATTTCTTTCGGAAGAAACGCATTCCCACTGGAACCTTTTTCGTAATACAGAGCCACACAATTTATGATGTCTACCACATTGTCGTGATTGTCCACTTCCATCAGTGCTGTTGTGGCGATACAGTGGCCAGACTTACTTAACAAACCCTCAGTCCGAAGAATCGTCCAGGTCCGACAGGTCCGTCCAGGCAAAAGCAGAAAAGGTCAAATCCGTGAGCAAAACAGGAATCAGTGCAGATTAATGCAGGATCTTAATGAATGTGACTTCTAACCCCAGTGATTTGAGACCTCTTTCCAAGTAACGAAACCGATGAAAATAGCAAAACCAGAAAAGACGAACAACACACAAAAGTGATAATTTGACGGGCTTCACTTCCTTTGACACTCATAGCTTGACTACAAAGGCGGTATACACACTAAAGAACCACTTTTTTTCAGTCAAAGCTAATAAATGTTTTGTCAAGACAAAACTGAATTCCCGTATCCCACTATTTTTCCCTTACGATTCTCGCATCCCATCCCCATAAAAATAGGAAATCCCGCTCCCGCTGGTTATTAAAATTTCCGCATCCCGCTTCTGTTTTTAGCCCCCATCCCGAGTATCACCACGAAAAATAGCCCAATCCCGCATCCCGCCAAACCTATTGTGGACCCTCCTCTCAGTGCCCCTGCCTCATTATAGTTTATTTTGTGGCCAGTCATAGACCCCATCTTAGTCACTTTTGGGCAAATTTGTAATTTTCGCGATCGCAACTTAGTCACTTTCTATTTATGTATCTACCTTATATTGCATGAAAAACACTTAACTTTTCACCTACAGTACAAACATTCTGGTACGTTTGCAACCCAAAATATGAAGAACTGTCTTTATCCCCCCAAATCAGAAAATGTGCGACGCCATTCTAGTAACCCTATTGAAAGTGCGACCCCATCATAGTCAATCCAGTCGTGAAAATGCGACCTGATGCAGCGTCACACCTCCATTAGCCTCTTATCAGGAGGACCCCTCCCCCCACCCGCCGGGGGAGGAATAGCGCCATCGTTTGACCTTTTTAAGAGGTATTTCTATGTGAATCGGGTCTAAATGCAAAAAAAATGGTTTTGTCAAGAATGGTCACTTGCGATGTTGATGCGATGGGCAATCGGAACCCAATTCCACCTTTCAAGAAACCAGGGGCTCGTTTCTCGAAAGTCCCGATAATTGACGGGCCCGTGAAGCTGGTTTGGTTTACATGCACGATAGAGGTTTCAATAGTTTTGCATCTAACATGATAAAACTTATTCTTTTCATTTCGATTTGAATAATTTGAAATAAAATGGAGTAAGTTTCGGGCTCTATGGTGCAGGCTCTTTCTAATACAGGACCCAGAACGCGTGGTTTCTTGTTCTGGAATTTTCATTTCGATTGGTTTGAATATATTTGTTCCTGTATACAGGGTATACAGGGTATACATGGGTATACTGGGTATACAGGGTATACAGGGTATACAAGGTGTACATGGGTATACAGGGTATACAGGGTATACAGGGTATACAGGTATACAAGGTATACATGGGTATACAGGGTATACAAGGTATACAGAGTATACAGGGTATACATGGGTATACATGGGTATACATGGGTATACAGGGTATACAGGGTATACAAGGTATACAAGGTATACATGGGTATACAGGGTATACATGGGTATACAGGGTATACTGGGAGTACATGGGTATACAGGGGTATACAGGGAATACAGGGTATACAGGGTATACAAGGTATACAAGGTATACAAAGTATACAGGGTATACAGGGTATACATGGGCATGAGGGTATACAGGGTATACAGGGTATACATGGGTATACAGGGGGTATACAGGGTATACAGGGTATACATGGGTATACAGGGCATACAGGGTATACAGGGTATACTAGGTATACATGGGTATACATGGGTATACAAGGGTATACAGGGTATACATGGGTACAGGGTATACATACAGGCATACATACATGGGTATACAGGGTATACAGGGTATACATGGGTATACATACAGGGTATACATGGGTATACAGGGGTACATACAGGGTATACAGGGTATACATGGGTATACAAGGTATACATGGGTATACAAGGTATACATGGTATACATACAGGGTATACATGAGTATACAATACAAGGTATACAGGGTATACAGGGTATACATGGGTATACAGGGGGTATACATGGGCATATAAGGGAGGTATACAGGGGGTATACATACAGGGTATACAAAGGTATACATGGGTATACAGGGTATACAGGGTATACAAGGTGTACAGGGGTATACAGGGTATACAGGGTATACAGGGGTATACATGGGTATACAGGGTATACAAGGTATACAGGGTATACAGGGTATATACAAGGGTATACATGGGTATATACAGGGTATACATGGGTATACATGGGTATACATGGGTATACATGGGTATACAGGGTATACAGGGTATACAGGGTATAAAGGGTATACAAAGGTGTACATGGGTATACAGGGGTATATATACAAGGTATACATGGGTATACACAGGTATACAAGGTATACATGAATATACAGGGTATACAGGGTATGCATGGGTATACATGGGTATACAGGGTATACATGGGGTATACATACATACAAGGTATACATGGGTATACAGGGTATACATGGGTATACATGGGTATACTGGGTATACATGGGTATACAAGGGCATATACATACAGGGTATACTGGGTATACATGGGGTATACAGGGTACATGGGTATACAAGGGGTATACATGGGTATACAAGGTATACAGGGTATACAGGATGGTATACATGGGTATACAGGGTATACAGGGTATAGGGGTATACAGGGTATACAGGGTATACAGGGTATACATGGGTATACAGGGGTATACAGGGTATACAGGGTATACATGGGTATACAGGGTATACAGGGTATACAGGGTATACAGGGTATACTAGGAGTACATGGGTATACATGGGTATACAGGGTATACAAGGTATACAAGGTATACATGGGTATACAGGGTATACAGGGTATACATGGGTATACAGGAGAATGGACATTCTATTACTGTTATATGAAACACTAGGTCTATTTGGCGTAAGCGTAACATGAAAGAATAACCAGAAACGGGCCCCTGGTCGACCTGGCCAACTCGTATTCAGAGTCCTCGGGCTCTATGGTCAGCAGGCTCTTTCTAATACGAGTGGCTACCAAGCACAGAAGTCGAAGCGTGGTTTCTCTGTTCTGGAATGAGGTAAAAATTAAGTGGGTTTAAGTAAAAATTGGTCTTGAAGGTAATGCATTTGTTCCTCAGAAATGGTTAGTAATGGCTGGGGACATTGTTGCCATATCGAGGATCATGATCGAGAAAACCTGGTGAGTGATGAAATTTGCTAGCTTGCTTCCTCTGTTAGCTTCTGTTTGTTTACAAACATATGAAGCCTAACTTTGACATCTTCCGATAAAAAGATGCCAACGTTATGATGCAGAAGGAACGAACGGCGGCTTAACGCCGAATAACCCTGAAGTTCCGTGATAACTGTAAGGAAACCGAGTGAACCAAGTTTAGGCCAGTTTGATGAATGAGGCTGAGTATCTTATGGAGACTTATGGAGATCGAGGAGGGTGTTATGTGGTTAATTCTTCATATGATACGAAAGCCGAATTCAATAATTGTTTTATTATTCATTCAAAATAATTCCTAGTTTAAAAACATAGCTAAAACATGCTTACCTCCATCGATCCATCGATGTTAAGTTCATCTTCGATAGTGCATGTTTAGGGTTGTTAAGCTCCGCAAATATTCTCCAGATAACAGATGTTGGCCTTTGAGTTGTGTTCTTTCTGTTCTTGCCATGTTTTTAGCTATTATTTCGCCTAGTTCTTACTCTTGAAACAAGTGAAATGTCTGCCATTTTTGTTTCCACAACCAAAACAACTCAACCTCATCCCCAGGTCTTCTTGGTTAACAATGCATTAACCTGCAAAAACGCTGCATTTTTGATGTCATTTCCTCGTTAAACACAACATTTTTCAAAATTTGGTCATCAGCAACTGGTTATGGTGAATTATGCGTGTGCTTTTAGCCAATCAGAATCGGGAAAATATTTTGAATGAATAATAATAGCAATTAATGAATGAGGCTGAGTAGGATATGAAGAATTAAGCAGATCAAGGTCCTCCGAGATCTGCTTAATTCTTCATATCCTACGAAAGCCGAATTCATTAATTGCTTTATTAGTCATTCAAAATAATTCCTAGTTTAAAAACATAGCTAAAACAAGCTTACCTGCATGGATGTTAAGTTTATCTTCGATAGTGTACGTTTAGGTTTGTCCAGCTCCGTAAATATTCTCCAAATAGCAGATGTTGCCCCCCGAGTTGTCTTCTTTCTGTTTTTGCTATGTTTTTAGCCACTATTTCGCCTAGTTCCTGCTGCAGTTCTTACTCTTGAAACGAGTGAAGTGTCTGCCATTTTAGTTTTCACAACAAAAATAACTCAATCTTTTTCCCAGGTCTTCTCGGTGGACGGTGCATTAACTTTAGAAGGCTGCATTTTTGACGTAATTTCCTCGTTAAACACAAAATTCTTCCAGGGTTTGCAAATTTTATTGGTGAGTGGAGTCAGTGTGACTTCTGCTTCACAAATTTTGGAGTCATTTTGGAATATTTGGAGTCAAGTATCAGACTTTCCAGCACGTGGTCCTGGCATGTATACACTATCGTGAGGGATACACGAAGTAGCTGTGGCTAATCACGGTCACGAAATTTTGTTAGCTTAATTTGCTCTTTGTAACTTTTTTATACAGAACACTTAATTTATGAAAGAAAGCTGTCTTGAATTTAACAAATTACAGCGGCCAAATAAGACGGCATTTTGTTTGCTTGACAACACATCACAAATTTGCATAGTGTCAACACGTGAAATTTGAAACCTACTTCTCAGGTACTATATTTGCATACTATGAAAAGATACGCTTTTCGGTGCTTCTATAAACCAGGTAGATAAACTCACTGGCCTAAACATTAAAGCAGCTCCATGAAATAAATGACAGGTTTTTAAGTCCAAGTAGACCTTTTCCAGTAGAGTTCGCTTGCACATCTGTTTGTCCAAAAGAAGTCAAAAGGTATGACGGTGCTTTTGGAAGCATTGCTGATCGGTCTACCATTCATTTCAGCTTGAAATGTTTATAAACAAAACCTGCAGGCAGTTACAAACAAAGCTATCATCTCAAAGTTTTTGAAAAACAGGTAGTTTTCAATGTTGTGCAGTGGATATAAAGCGACTTTATTAAAAGCATGTTTTACATAAATACGGAAATACCAATCCTTCACAAAGTGAATTTTAATAGGCAACAGTCTACAGGTCGCAGAGGTAAAAATTTGTTTCTGTGTTAGTTACGGTAAAGCTTTACCATCGATTCTTGAAATCGCTCAAGAATTTTGGCCTTGATACAAATGTAGTTACAGTTTTTAGGCCATGGTGCACTAAGAGAATCGCGTCCTGCGCTACAAGAATCGCGTCTTGCGAGAGGGTGGTAACTTACTTTTGAGCAGTACAACAGGTGTTATGTTGTAAACAAATAAGTCTTCAAGACTGAATTGGAAGTGCAAAACCATCTTTTTGATCACTCAAAAAATCGCTCAAACATAACCGAACAGCACTTTTGACAACACTGCAAGGGGACTTTACTTTGAATGCCCAAAAAATTGGAACTGTCCCAAGTTTCTTTGTGACCGGAGTTGTACATACATGTACATTGTAGCTGTAGCTTACCCAAAGGACAAGCTGTAAAACTGACTTTCTTTGCATCCTGAAGGGTCTCGTTTTTCAGAATTTCCTTTATGCCCAACTACAAAAACTAGCTATTAAAAAGCAAGGGGCTTTTATGGGGGGGCTTAGGTCTTAGTTTTAATGACCAACCTGTTATGCTCCACTTACAGAGTCATCAGAGCATCATGGTGCTAATACCTCACTGTCAAAATTTGGCAATGAGGTGCAGTAATGAATTTAACTAAATGCTCCATTATCGCTACAAGTTACATGTAAATTTATTGCTGTGAAGAGGAAGTGTATGCCTTACGTATACATTAAAAGTCAAATTTTGATTTCTGGTTAAAAAATTTTTAACCAGTAGGTAGTCTAGGGGACAAAGGAAATTGAAAATCAACCAGTATGTCAGATAAAATTCACCTGAAGTCAACTTTGAATTGTAACATACCGAGTAAGATTGCAGAAAAGGGATGTCAAGTAATTCCCTTTTGAGTTTGCCAAAGTGTGATATAAGTGCATCCTTTTTTAAAAGCATGAGCTGCTTTCAAAGTAGTTTCAATTGTAGAGCTAGCAATTCTGTCCTGTTGTTGCACACTCCATCCTGTATTGAAAGTATTCTCAATTTCTTAGGTGATGATATGACAGTTAAAGGAAATGCGGCATTTCTTTTTAAACATGGCTTTCTTAACTCTGTTTGCAATGGGGCAGTTTTGTTGTAAATGTCACAGTTAAATTGTTATCTCGGGTAATTTTTCTTTTTCTTTTGTTTTTTGGTATGGTAATGTATTCTAATAAAGTTGAAACAAAGGAAAAATAAAAATTACCTGAGATGAAAAATTAACCACAACATAAATATTACAACAGATGAAGGTCTTTAGTTTTTGATTTTTAGGTCTGCTGACTTAGTAAATTTGGATATGGGAAAGCAGTGTTATAATTTTGAATTATCAGTCTATTTATTTTGTTATTTAATGTTTACTTTTAAAACCCTTACATATATGTATATATATATATATATATATACACTTATGGGAGCAGTGTTTTAGTTAAGAAAAATTTGAACTTATTTTAGGTTAAGATTTGAACTTTAGGCCCGGAATTTTTGTTTAAGTAAGGTTGTCCTAAGTTATGATGTATTGCAAGTGAATTAGCCTATACAAATATTGTTTTGCCACAATACATGAGATACAGGTATATATTTACAGTGTTCCAGACAAGAGAGGGGTCTCGGGACAATGACCTGACAAAGAAGGCTTCCCAAGCTGACAGATGACATATAAGTGTCAAGTTAAATGTAGTGAAAAAAATTAGTACATGGCCTTGGTGACCACACAGATGGTCTACATGATCCCCTGCTTGAAAGAATTAACTAGAATGCTGATGTTACAGTGCATAGCTAATGCACCTACTAATGTAAACCTTGTGGGAGTGAGGGCAAAGGGTGGTGATTTGATCAAAAAGTAAAAATTTTGGTCAATTTCCCGAGAGTGGCGAAAATTACGTTCATCAAATATAGCTAAAAATCCCCACCCAGGGGCCTATACCTTTTGTGATGAATGTCAAAAGTCTGATTTAACCAGCTGCCTTCCCTATGAGGCAACATGATGTTGACCCTGCAGGGGCAGTTACAGTTGAGGGGCGAATGGCTTTAAGGTTGGATTTGAAGAGGATGCCATTTGCTGACAAAGGTGTTTTTAAGGTAACTGTTGGCAACAGCAGGGTGGTACGGTGATAGTAGTTTTGTTAGAAAAGACAGAGTTTTTTTCACACTTTATTGTTTTGTGGTATATAACACCAACTTTTGTTCAGCAAATTTAACCTAAGAGGTAATTTTTTTCCAAGAGATTTTTTCTAGCGGGAAGTGTCTAGCACAGAGCTGTGTCTCACTGAAGAATTTGTTCTAAGAAGTCTAAGGGCTTTGCCTTTTGATGAGACCATTTCTGCAGTCTTTATTCTTGCACTTACTCAAGGTCCAAAATCCAGTTGTGAGATTTGGAGTTGCACTATGATTGGTCTACATTTGTAACCACTATTTTCAGAAGATTTTCAAGGGGCAAGAACGTGTGAAGAAGCCCTTAGAAAGTCTGCATGGGAGGCTAAGTAAATCCAAGGCCAGAATAGCACTGAACCGAGAGGGTCATTAGCTATGTACAGTTAGTTGAATTTGTTAATAAAAATTAATCCTCAAAATCACTGTTTTGTTATTGCTGATTAAACTGTTTTAGATGTACAATGTACAAATCCATCTGGAAAGTTATAAAAGACCTTGAAAAAATCACTGAATACAGTGAACCATCATCTAAACATTGTAATGTTATGATGTTCTTCTCTGTTTCAGTCCATTGTGTATTATGTGTTGGCTTTCTGCAGTGGAGGGTTTCTACTTCTTGTCTCTTACTGGCGTCCAGATTGGGCTTTAAAGATGAAGTGTTCTCCGTGCGCTCTGAATAAAGCGACATATGTTCTCCTAAAGGTAATTATTTTAATATTTAGTGCAACTTAAAATGCATTTGTATCAATGTCAGTACAATTAAGAATCTGCAATCAGACAACTTTGTGTGTACAACAATTTGTATGCTTGTAATTATTGTACTGTAAGTTGTTGTGATGGTCAGTGGCAAGGTAACAAGCATATTATTTTACCTAGTAAAAATAAGTACAATGATAATGATCATCTAATTTATCATCCAGTATTTTTGGCTCAAGAGTAAACTGTTTTGATGATTTTTTGCTGAGTTGTTATCTGCGAGATACTTTTATCATATATTTTTAGTATGTTTTAATTTGGCCATCATTGTATTTTGGCAGACATCGCATGGTGATTGGTGTGTAGAAAAAGTGAAAGTTGTAAGGTATGTGTTTAAACTCCAATTTAAGACCCTTGAATTTAACCATCAATCTTTTCATATTGAGGGAGTTTGAGTGCAAAAAATGTTTTTGCAACATTGTGATCTTTTGAGCATTCTATGAAGATCACTTGAAATTTTAGCAGCATTTTATCATGATATCGATATGATAAAGTATGTAAATAAATAAATAAATGTGAGTATTATCCAACTTCACTCAGTAGAGTACAAATAACACTCCAAATGAGTACAAATATTTCAGTATTTTGTACTTCAGAAAACCAGTTTGACTGGTTTTCTAATGTTGCACATGGCCAAAAATGCCTTTTGTTTTCCCAAGATCATAAAAGAGGAGCCAGACTGTCCATGTAAGCTTAGAAAGAACTGAGTTCCTGGAGTAAAGTCTCCTGAACAGCATGTACAGCTGTAATGTCGACAATTTTATTGAAAAAATCAGAACATACAAAATTAACAAGCTCAAAATACAACAGAGAAGGTGAAAAAAGACCTGAATGTGTATTTGTCTGTAATAGATCTTGACAATCCATGGAACAAACAGCGTCCATAAAATACATGTACAACATGGCACATTAAGTAACAGAACAGTCTTCGTAATTTTCTAGTTCTTTTTAAATGCAAATAAAGTCAACATGGTAGACTCTAGATGTTCCCGTAAGACTTTTGCTAGTATTTATCCCAGCAAAGATGCAGAAGATGGAGGGTTGTCCAATACTGTCAACATGACGTACCAGTGGACAAAGTAAACTGTCGAGTGGACATTAATTTGCATCTCATTAAGGGGACTTAGAAATTTGTCGCTGGTCATGTTAGCAACATGACCCCGTTCAATGGTAGTCGAGTTGTATGAGTCGTACGAGTGGAGAAAGTGCTTGTCCACCTGACAGAGTAAACTGTCGAGTTGACAAATGCATCTCATTCAAGGAGGGCGCTTGTTCGTTTGCGTGGCTTATGTCGGATCTTTGCTTAAAGAATGAGGCATACACGGTATGTAGGATGCTTGTTTTTTCACGTGACTTAAAGTCGGATCTTTGCTTAAAGAACGAAGCGTGCACAGGGTGTAGGGCACTTGTTTGTTCACATGGCTTATGTCGAATCTTTGCTTAAAGAACGAGGCATACAAAGTGTGTAGGGTGCTTGTTTATTCACATGGCTTGTGTTGGATCTTTGCTTAAAGAATGAGGCATACACAGTGTGTAGGGCGCTTGTTTGTTCATGTGGCTATGTCGGATCTTTGCTGAAAGAATGATGCATACACAGTGTGTAGGGTGCTTGTCCATTCGAGTGGCTTATGTCAGATCTTTGCGTAAAGAAGGAGACATACACAGTGTGTAAGGTGCTTGTTTATTCACACGGCTTATGTCAGATATTTACTTAAAGAACGAGGCATATGCAGTGTGCAGGGTACTTATTCCTTTGCGTGGCTTATGTTGGATCTTTGCTTCAGTGAACTGATGAGATCCATTTTCCACTCGACAACTCTCTCTGTCAAGTAGAGACAACTTGTCAGCTTGTATGTCTAGACAACTTAGATGCTGTCCCTTGTCAGCTGATG